TGGGGTTTGTTGGTTGCATGTTAACCACTCATGGCCTGCAAGCCGCCAGTTGGATAGCCCTGAGCTAGACAACCACTCAGGGTCCACTTCAGCCCTTTTTCTCTGATTCTGTTTTTTTGTTCTTAAACAGGGTGGATTTGATTTAGATTTGATTTAAATTCCCACTTGCAGGGAGCCTTGATTTAATCATTATTTTCTACAAAAAGTGCATTCTTGTTGTTTGATATAACCTTCATTCAAATATTCCCAAACATGGTCTGTTTTAGAGCCTGACAAACCTGCTGCCGTGATAGGTTTTCCCTTCTACCATACCATTCCCTCACTAGATCTCAAATCAGTGGAGAGCCTATACTCAGAAACTTATCCCTCAGAACTTGTGGAATATTCTCAAAATGTTTCTCTCTTGTTTCTACTGCCCCTCCCTCCTTGCATTTATCTCCAACTCTTCCTCTTCGCCCAGATCTACTCCACCCCCAACAATCTTTTATTCATTTAACTTCTTGAAACTTTGCACTTTTAGAGACAGGCAAGGGCTTGACCCTGTATGCAGACTTGCGGAGAGACAGTAGGGCTGATGGGTAGGTAATCAGGTCTGTTGTCTCTTATCTCCATATACTGCTGTCAGCAAGGATGTTATCTTTGGAGACGCAAGTCCACAGATTGAGAACTGAAACTAAGCATCACAGAGATGCTTAATGGGATCTTCTCGACTGAGCACTGGGTCCCATTGAGTTGAGTGGTTTTCTTTAATCTTTACTAATCTATAGAGGATCCTCTGGGAACCCCATAACATCGGGTCCTTAGTATAGTCCATGGCCTGTTGTGACGCATTTATAAAGCTTTTCTAAAAAGGGTACATGAATATATTGTCTCAAATAGTATATAATTAGAAGCTATAATCCCAATCCCATGGTAATATCTTTGAGCTCTAACATGTCTTAAATTAAAATGATCTTTATATAGGTTTTTTTTTTAAAGCATCTTAACAAAAAAAACCCCCAAAATTATTTAAATACAAAATTTGATTTACATTTAAAAAAATCAATATTTTAAAAATGGTTGATTTTTACCCAGCCTGTTCTTAAAATGAGTTTACTCTTTCAGTTTCCCTCTCCAAATAACAAAAACCTGGACCATGGAGCAGTGGTCCACAGCTTCTCATTGGGTGGCAAATGGGAATCTGTAGAGCTGTACTTGTCCCAGTGGGGAATTGTCAGTTTTCATGCACCGTCTTTGTCTGGGAATTGTAGCCCTGTACCAGACTTTTAGGATAGGCATAGTGTATTTTACTCAAATGAAAAAACAGCTTTCCCTCTTCACTTGGCATAGCTTTTTCGTTGTTTCTGTGGTTTAATTTAAATTATGATCAAACTTGTAGACGATACAAAAAATTGGACAGTTAACAAACTGAAGGAAGTTACGTACAGACTGAAGGAAGAGATAAGAGCAGCAGAGTTGCAGGTAGCATAGTGAGATTTATAGTGTTAATAGAGGTGTAGAGGTAGTTCAGCACTATACAGGTAGTACACAGTACGTATGCTAAGCAAGCAGAAGGTGAAACCCATCTCTTACACCTTTTTTGTTAAAACAAATTAACTAACTTTCATCTGGTTTCTGTTGTCTAAATATTGCAACTTACTAAATGCTGCAGGGATTTAAATGAAAGGCGGGATCCATGGAGGAGCTCTATCTCGAATGATCCCAGTTTTCAAAAACTCCAGTGGGTTTGTGCAGACAAATTACCCCCTGCCTGTTGGTTTTGTTGCAAAGCCTTGTGATGCTTCCAGTCCGCCCTGAACATTGTTATTTATCAGTCTGATCTGTGTTTTTATTTCTTCTAGGGGACTGTCTTTAGTTTGGACTCTGAAGAGGAAGAATACCCTGGGATTGTAGCGGAGGACAGCAATGACATCTACATCCTAACCAGTGACAACTCTGGTCAGGTGAGCCCCCCAGAGTCTCCCACAGTAACTACATCTTGGCAGTCAGAGAGCCTGCCTGTCTCCTTGTCAGCTAGCCAGAGCTGGCACACAGAGAGCTTGCCAGTATCCCTTGGACCTGAGTCCTGGCAGCAAGTAGCTATGGATCCTGAAGAAGTCAAGAGCTTGGACAGCAATGGAGGTGGTGAAGAAAGGAGTGAGAATAACTCTTCCAACTCTGACATAGTACATGTGGAGAAGGAGGAGATACCGGAGGGGATTGAGGAGGCAGTGGTGTCGGCTGTGGAGACTGAGACTGCTCAGGAGGTCTTCCCAGAAACCCCTGTGTCTTTGCTGGAGGTAGAGCCTGAAGCTGTAATTTCTGCTATTGAAAAAGCAAGACCCATGGCACCTTTGCTTGCGAAACACAAGGAAGAGGGGAAAGTAGCTGAGGCACCTGTTGAACCTGAAATCCCTGTGTTGAGTAAATCTGCCCAGAAACCAGTGTTGTCAGAAGAAAAGGCTGCTCCAGAACCTGAGAAAATACTGCCTCCAGGAGAGGAAACAAAAGTGGGAAAGGAGGGCCGCTTGGAAGAAATGGAAGAGAAATCTGCCACTGCAGAGGAGAAACCCATCCTGTTGCCAGAAGGCAAATCTATACTGCTGTATGGAGGGGCCGCTGCAGTGGCCATCCTGGCTGTGGCAGTGGGAGTAGCACTGGCACTGAGGAGAAAGTAGCAGGGCTTCGAGATGGAGGCGGGGAGGGAGCAGGATCCAATTTCTCTAAAGGCTGAGCTGCCTGCTGTTAATTGAACATTCATGTAACTTAAATGGTGATGGGGTGAGGGTATTCAATGTGCCCAAGGCTATGGACAATCATGTTTTTAGTGGAATTGAGTGGGGACTGTTTTTTCCCCCCCAGAATTAAAGTACAGGGGTATTTAAAAAAAAAAAAAAAATCTGTAAATTTAAGAATTGTAAGTGCGGGTGCTGAAGAAAGGGGGTGCTTGTGTATTGAAACTGGAAGAGAGAATTCCTGGGGAGGAGAGCCAGCTGCTGCTAGCCCCTGGGATTTTTAGTTTGCGACTGACCCGCTGTTGCAGTTACGCTGTCCTGTCACTTCCTTTCGCACCTCCCGAAAAACAAAATGAAACGACACCTTATTCCTGTAGCGCGAGGCTGGTCTCCCTTAGGTCTCAGCTTCCTCTCAGGTACTGCACTTCTCCTTATAACCTCCTAGGTTCCTTCTCAACCCCAGTGGGAGAGTGCTTCTTCTATACCTCTTTGATCACACTTATTTAGCCCCAGATACTTCCTGAAGCCCCATCTTGTACAGATGCTGCCTCTCTATCTGTATTATCTCTGACCTCTGATGTTGTCTGGAGAGAGGTGCAGAAGAGTCCCTCTGTGTTGCCAGCAGAGCAGTGGGGTAGGTGTGCTATAACCGTTTGTTGGTCTGAGAACACCTCTGCTTCCCCGGCCCACTTTACTGACACAGTTCATTTACCACAGACATGGCTCTTGTGGGAGTCACTCTGCCATTTGACAATGATTTTGATACAAGCGCTCATTCAGGTAGAGTATAACAACCTTATAATTGCATGAAGAAACCTGAGCAGGAGGTTGAGGCTTGCCAGCTGATGCACTCGGTGAAGCTGAAAGGTTAAATGGCTACTTTTGTCCTTATCTTGTGCCCTAGCTTACTGTTGTCTTTCACAGGGTAAGTACAGAGGATGTTTATAGCCTTCACTCAGCCTTGCTTGTCACAAACAGAGAGAATCTGAGTTGTTCCAGGTATAACTAAGGCAAACAGCAGTGAGCCTTTCATTTCTGGCCTTGGCTCCTGGGCCTAGGGGGAGCCAGCACAGTGCAGTCTCATTATGCAGCTTGTGGACAAGACAGAAAGAATCAATAAATGTAGCTGATAGGTGAAAATAGTGACAGTGCAGTTACTTTGGAATAAAATAACCTAGCCCGCTGGTCACAAACGTCGTTTGTGAATGGTGAAGTCTATACTGCAGCTTTACAGATGTAGTCTCAGAGTCCCCAGGTAAATCTACTGCCTTCTTTTGGAAATTTATCCTGGCTCTGTGGCTTAGACAGGTGAAGGGAAACATGAGAAAGTAAAAACAAAGCCTCATGCAAGCTAAAGTGTTTTTTTTAAAGCCTAAAAAATGTTATTTCTAATGGCCTTGATTGCTGTCTTTGATGCAATACACCTGTTTCTGTTTCTTACAAATAAGTGGGCTGAGAATGAAGAGAACATCATACATTTCTTATTTTATTTCATGTTTTCAAATGAAATTAATTCATATCCCTTTTCCTTTCCACCCCTTTAGGGCTCCTAATGCTGGCAGTCCACAGGAACCCAGCAGAGTTCAGGGATTTTGCGCTCTAAACTTGTGCTAGGGTGACTTCTCTCGAGAGGGCTCCAGGGGTTGGAGGGAAGTTCTATGTTAGGGAAACTTTTTAGAGGGAGAGAATCTGGTGGGAAAGGGATTGTACAACTGGTGCCATTGCTGTGGAGGGGGCCTGCTTAGCTCAGGAATTTTGCACTCTTTCTGCTGATTATTATGGTCTATAAGCTGGACTGCTTTTACCCCATGCACAAGTGGTGATAAGCTGGCCTTAGAAATATTTTTGCTGTGTTGTAAAATTAACTTAGTTCTTCCTCCTTCCCTTATCTTGCCACATCCTGGTGAGATCCTCATTGCTGTGAGTGTGCAGAATTGTCATAGTATGTTCTTCCCTGTCTTCTCTGTTTTTTCGTGGTACAAATGCAGCAAAATGGCACTGGCTGTATTCTTGCCGTAGTTGCCTCTTCCGCTTTTCCCTGTAGACCAGTCTGGTAAAGGTTTCAGTATTCCTTTTGTCACAGATGTGAGAGTGGTTTTCAATTTGTCTTCGTTTAACTGAACTAAAATTAAGAACTTTTAAAATGATGACAGGAGAGTTGTCATTTGGGGTAGTCTGTGCCCTAGCCAGAGTGGGGATTTGCTGTTCAGTGTCTAGTTTGGCTTGTGTATCAAGGGGTGTTTTACTTGTGGGGTGGGCTCAGTACTCTGCCAACACCAGGGGAATTGGATCTGTTCTTACATCTGGGCTGGTGACTCCTGCTCTCTCTGGGGATGATGTTCCTTGGGTGGGAAAGCTCCCCTGTCCTTATTCACGCAGTGGGTCCTACCACTGTGTGGTTTGCTTCTGACCGCATTCTGAGTATTTGTGTGGAAATTATGAAATGTCTTTTTATCTCATCCTTTACTCATCAGTCCAGTAATAGGGGAACAGGACACAGGTTAGTGATGGGGGGACAAAAAGTAGAGAGTATTTCCTTTCAGGCCAGAAAAAAATCCTTATCATGGTGATACTCCTCTTGATGCAAGAGTCAGACAGGGCTGTGAAAGTGGAACAAAATGTCTTTTATCACAGTCACACAGATTACTCCTCCTTTTTGGTTTTAGCTGTGAAGATTGTTCTCCATCTTAAGCTCTTATTGGTAAATGACAGTTAAAAAAGAGTATGACTTCCTCTCCCCCAGTGCTTATACTTTATATTTATTCTTTTATATTAGTCTGTTCTAGGATCACCCCATCAGCTAGAAATGGCCTGTTATGGATTTGGGTGTCCAAGGGCTCTATTGACTGCTACCTTTGAGGTCTGATGCAGCTGTAGCCAGCACCAGCATGGAAATGACCCAGAGAGAAGCAGGAAGTATAGTGTTATTTGTCACCTTCTTGTAGGACCACTTATTTGTTGTACGGTAGGTTGTGGTTTAGGAACCACATGCAGTTCTGGACTGCAGGACTTACCGGTTTGTCCAAGTTGTGCTCACCATCTCTTCCTGGTGTAGTTCTTAGAATTGGTAGAGGGGAGACACTAGTTGCCTGATTTCATACAATGCTCTATTAAAGTACCATTAGTTTTGCTTGGACCTCCCCTTCCTCTTTTCCAAAATTAAGTGCCTCAAAATACGTCCCAGAGTGGACTTTACCTTAACTAAACTTCTATCATGAACTCTTTTTTTCTTCACTTTACCCTTGTCTGCTGCACATCTTTAAGTTGTGATAAAATTGCTAACCCCTTGGAGTCAGATCCACAAGAAGGGCTTCCACTCCTGTGTTCAGCATTGTGGGGCCTGACTTTGAGGGTGCCTCCATGCCTCTAGCAGATCTTCCCACTTAGTAGAATCTGCAGCCCCAGGGCTCCGTCA